GCAAAGCGCCAGCCACAGGCGCACAGCCATGGCCAAGCGCCGAAGCGCGCACAGCGCGCCACGCCGGCGCACGCGCCGCAGCGCCGACGCACGCATCGTCTTGCACCCGGCCCGGCATCACACGACACGCCGGCTGGCCGCGCCAGGCGTGGCTACGCCGCCCGCCACGCACCTGCCCCGCGTGTTGATTGGTCGTGAGTGTGAGTTCAGACTCGCGGAGATATATTAGAGCGAGCATGTGGCCAGGACATAAAGGTGCATTTAGGTTTCGCTTTGCGGGCTGTTATCTGGCATTGGCCGTATGCGATAACTGTAATGTCCTAATCAACTTAATTGTTTGGCATTTTTTTCGCATTGCTATTATCTTTTTTGCGGCTGTGGCGTGTGTTTTTCCGTACTGTTAACGTTCAAAGAATAATCGCTTTTGATCGTGATCCGCTTATTGGTGAGATCGGTAAACTTGACAATCGTTGGCCATTCAAGACGAAATAGGTTAACATGAGATACAGCTGATTAAAAATATTTTGCTCAATCTAAAGGTGTGATTAAGTTTTATATTTTTTTGTATGTGATTATAAATTAAATGTATTGTTCTTGATGTTTGATGGCAATTTTTTTGATCATTTCTTCCAAACTCGGTGATGACTTGTTTCTTCGATAGCCTTTATAAGGGCGATTCTTTTTTTGTAATGGGATTTTGTGAAGTTTGAATCGCAGGGACAGCTACTGTTCCATTCTCATTACATTCATTGTGTTATCATGAGACATCATTAACTTAATCATTGCCATACCTGGGAGTTAAAGCGTGTGTGTGACGCGCATTCCAGGTCTGGCTGCGAGGTTAGGTCGACTGTTGAGTCTCTTGGCATTTATTTCAGCGGGTAAGCTAGCTTACCTGCGACGCCTCTGGCAGGTGTTTTACGTGAAATGGTGGTTTTTGTGGCAGTGTGGGTTCAATCATAGAAGGGCTTTTAAACCTATAACACTTGCTGGCTTTGTCTATCCTCGGGGTATGAAGAGTTTTTGCATGAACTAATTATCGATGAAGAACTTTTTTTTAAGTGTAAGAGCCTTTCGTAATTGGTTAACTATCGCCAATTCATTGCTATGGATCATCTTTATCAAAAGGCAGTATGTTTTCCTGCGATTCACGACTTGTTGTAGCTTTAGCGGGGCGGTTTAGGTTCGCGCCATGGATAAAGACGCGGGTACCTCATGATTACAAATTTATCAAATGGAGGAGTCAGGAGAAGCAGGATGAAGTAAGTAAGACAGAGGGATATGAATACTAACTTCAAATAAGGCTTATTTCCCTAAGCAGTAGCATTTGGGTTAAGGAGGGAAAATATGTAACTTTCTGTGTAATTATAATTTATTTTGTGCTATAAAAATAGTATGTTGAACAATTTTTATCCGGAGTCTATTTTGAAAATTGATTCAGCATTGTAAACCAAACAGTAATTACCAAATGTGAATCTGTTTTATATTGCTAACATGAAGATAATCTGAGTTAAATATGTGGATAAATCGTTCTCGACGGTGCGAGGAATAACACTGTAAAATATCTTGTTATTTTTGTATTTTCATTTTTTTTCGCAATTGATGTTGTGTCTTTAATGAGCGTAAATATATTTTGTATGAAGCGTACATAAGCACCCTGAAGTTTTGTCAGATTTTAATTCCATAATGTCGTTTTTAATTATTGAATTTGTAATAAAGTTTTAGGGGATTTAATGATTTTTACAGATTGTTATGTATTTAAGAATTACATTATTTATTTATAATTTCAAATGGAAAGAGTATTTTTGTTTTATTCACTTCACTAATTTTTTTCATAATAAAACATTAAATATGTATTGGTTTTTTTGGCGGGACTCTGTCATTTGGCACATTTCGCACGCGTGTGTTGGACTCAAGTTTCTTTTTGAAGCGTGCCGTTGGGACTATGGGACATTCGAGCAGGCGTCCCGCTTTAGCCTGGGCGTGACAAACTTTTCCGATCATGTCGTTCAGTCATCTTATTTCATCTCTCTAGGTGGGAGAACTGAGATTCTAGTTGGTTGGGAATTTAACGTCTTGGGGTTTTTTTTAGCAGCTACAAGCAGACAGGGCCACCACGGTTTTTTTTCCGTCTTGCGGTTTAAAATCCCACAGACTCAGGCAGGGTCAACCGTTGCTGGGAAGTTCGGGCTAGTAAAACTAACTATTCTACTGGGAGCGTGAACTTGCAACTTATTTTACTATGTTAAAAAGTTCGACTGACACCATGTTTATTTGAACGACTGCTTTACGCGAATTTTTGGTTGTGCATTGCCGGCCAGTAGAGTAATCTAGGAGTTTTTTGAAATCAGTGTTTGCATTTTCACGTTAATCTAACTTCGAGACCACACAAAACCAATTTGGAAAACATTTGATTTTATCTCAACTGCTAGGCGGCTACACATATATTTGTTTTGGCGAGAGTTAAGAGCTCATGTAAAGTGTAAACTTTTCTATCTTTCAAAATATTTTTGTGCCGCAAGTTTCTGTAACATTACAATCGGCGTAGCTGATAACATTACAAACTTTACATAGCGCTTTTTGTTGGTTTGATATTATCCTTTATATAGAATATTA